AGATATTTTTGGGGTAGACCATAGAGAAGAGAATTACAGTAATCTAAACGAGATGTGACAAGAGCACTGACAAGTATGGCGATACTGTTGGGAGAGTGAAGGACAAAGGTGGTTAATATTATGAAGATGAAAATAGGAAGACCGAGTCATATTATTTATATGTGCTGTGAAGGAAAGAGTGCTGTCCAGGACGATACCAAGACTTAACCCGAGGGGAGATGTGACAACAGAGTTATTAATGGATAATGAAAGACTTCTTGCTGGAACTTTAGTCAGTTTTCGTTTAGTGCCTATTAGAATAGATTCTGTTTTATAGCCATTAAGTGTAAAAAAGTTATGAGTAAACCAAACCTTGATTTCACTTAAACAATCAAATATGGATGTGGGTGGGAGAGTAGCTGTGGGTTTTAGATAAGATAAGATAAGATAAGATAAGATGAGGTAAGGTAAGATAAGATAAGATAACTTTTCTTAGTCCCACATGTGGGAAATTTCTTTTGTTACAGCAAAAAGTGGACAGTGTAAAGTTACATAACAAAAATTAGAACACTGGAATAGGATAAGAAGAAGATACTGTACACAACTATACACAATAGAATAGAATAAAATAAAATATTATATACAATAGAATAAAATAGAATACAAATACTACATACAACTGAGTAAGATACAACGTTGTCAGAAAAAGAGTATTGCTCTTAGTGTTATTACTATTCCACATGTGTGGTCAGTTGCGAAGTCTTTGTTGTGGAGTCTGACAGCACTGGGGAGGAAAGACCTGCAAAATCTCTCTGTCCCACATCGGTTGTGCCACAGCCTGCCACTGAAGGAGCTGATCAGTGCTGTCAAAGTCTCCTGCATGGGGTGGGAGTTGTCCAGCAGGATGAAAGCTTAGCTTAGCTTAATCACTCACCACCTCCAATGGGTCCAGGGGGCATCCTAGAACAGAGCTGGCCCTGCGGATCAGCCTGTACCTACCCCCAGTGGAGATGCTGCTATCCCAGCAGACCACACCATAAAAGATGGCCACCACAGAGTCATAGAAGGTCTTCAGGAGTGGGTGGGCCCTTATCTCAAAGTAGGGCAAAGTACATCCTCCTTTGCCCTTTTCTTTAGAGGGAGTCTGAGTTATGAATCCAGTCCAGTTTATTATTCAGATAAACACCAAGGTGCCTTTAGCTGTCGACAGCCTCAATGTCCATACCTTTAATGTTTAGTGGTTGCCGTGGAGGATGTTTGTGCCTGCAGAAGTCTACCACCAGCTCCTTGGTTTTACTAGTGTTGATCTGGAGGTAGTTCTACTGGCACCAGTCCACAAAGTCATGGGTAAGTTCTCTGTACTCCTTGTACAGATAGGTTTGGAAGATAAGTAGAGCTGGGTGTCATCTGCATAGCAGTGAAATTGAATGTTATATTTCTTGAAAATATTACCTAGCAGTAGGAGATAGATAATAAGAAGTAAAGGACCCAGGACAGAGCCTTGGGGTGCACCGGAATTAACTGGAGCAGATAGTGACCTGTGAGTGTGCGTAATTAAACAAACTATGAATGGCCAGAGATTCACAGTTTGTAAACCAGGAGAGTGCTGTATGTCAATAAATGTTAATCTATGAAGAAGGATCCAGTAGGTTATTTTACTAGAGCTATTTCTGTACTATGAAATTAATGGAAAACAGACTGAAACTGTTCATACAAGTTATTTTCAGTGAGGTGTCTATAAACCTGTGCAGCCACTATCCTTTCCAGATTTTTGGCTAGGTAAGGCAAATTGGCCTGAAATTATTCAAATTGGAAGGGTCTGAACCATTCTTTTTCAATATTGGAGTTGCAGTTTTAAGAGAGGATAGAACACAACCAGAGCGATTAACAAGCCTAAGAGAGGGGAGTGAAAGTTTAACAAGATTAGTGGCCAGCTGTCACGGCTGCCAAGGCGAGCCGTGTGGTGTTGGAGGAAAGGAGGACTCAAAATGCAGGCGGTGACTGATGATACGAGAGGCGTTTATTTACAAGTGGTAGAGTGGCAAAACAGGCAGTGAGGGAAAAGAATTTACAGAACACATCTAAACTAGGAAAACTAAATAACAAACCAGAGACGAAACGGGGAGAGAGGCAGAGAGACGCAGACGAGGAACAGGACACCGTGGAACACAGACGAAC